GGAGCAGGGCCCTGGCTCCTGCCCGAGTTACAAAACAGGGCACAGTGCCCAGCCAGGCCCTGCCTGGTTGAGTATTAACCTGGCACTGTCAGGCTTGGGCCACAGAGAAACCAGTTGTGCCAGAGCCAGTTTCACTGGAAGTCCCCAGGGGCTAAATATATCTGTCTTCGTTTGTTTTTCCTTCCCCCCCAAAAAAATGAGGGTGTAATCACACACCTTATCACGCAGATTCCCATCCCAGAAATTGGCTGGCTACAGACTTAACGGACTTTCAGTAAGGATTCTGAAAACCAGCTACCACTAGGTGTTGGAGGACACCATGACCTCTGCCGAAATGCTCCCGTGGCCACAAAGCCCCCAGGCTCCCACATGCAGAGTGGAGCTCAGAAAGTGCTTGCAGGCGCTGCCTCATTTGAAGTCTGCAGGAGCTAGGCACGTCTGAAAGGGAACGGCTGAAAATATATCATGGAAACAATTTTATGACACAAGGAGACAGATTTTTACTGATCAGAAGTCCCAGAGTCTTTCATCAGCCAGACATGGAACGAAAGATTCAGGGCAGTACATCAGCACCCTGCTCAGAATACCCAAGAGGCCGCGGCTGACCGCCCAGCAAGAACAAGTAGGATTTTTTAAAAGGAGCTTCTCCCAAGGGACGATGTCCAGTCCGCCATCCCCAGGGCCATCACAGCAACAGTGGAGCTCGGGCAGGAGCTGCCAGCCCTTGACTCTCTGTGGGCCTTGCCCTTCCAGCTCAGGCACAAGCTGGCACTGCCCTCTCTTGGGCTCGCCCACACACAGCAGCCCTTTCTCGGGAGAAGCAGTCCACCAAAAAAGGCCTGGGCTTATGGCATGCACAATCTGAAAACAAAGCTCTTCTTTTAGACCCAGCCTGGAGCACCTGAAACACAAGGGGCTTCCAGCTTCTCCCCTTCGGTCCCCTCTGGATTTCATCTTTTGCCGTTTGCCAAACAATCAGATACTGGACTTTATATGTGCAGCAGCAGCGTGAGAGGGACACAGAACGTGACCCGGGAAGTTGTCAGAGCTGGCTTACAGTAGGGAGATACTCTGGCCAGAGTCCAGCTCCATGTCCTTGCCTCCTGCTACTCAAAGCATGCTTAGAGCCTCCTAAACAATCAGGCAATGATATTTCCAACCATGTGAGACACTCTTCCTTTGGCAACAGCTTCCCACGCTACCTTCTTCCTCCTTCCCACAAGGCATCTATGGCTTTTTTTTTTCCCTTTAGTTTTAAAAATCAGCAGAGTTAGTGACCGTGGGATGGCTGGAACCACCAGTGCTGACTGCAGCACATACAGCAGTGAGGGTGAAATCTACTACAGACACTTCTTCAGCCAGCAACTCGGACTTGGAAGTAGCCCGACTCGAGACCACAAACACCCCGGAGATGCTGAGCAGGCAAGAGCACGGGAGGTGCCTGACAGCCCACACTACCCAAGAGCTGTGCTGGAGAATGGGTCTTTGTTGAACATCGGGGTCTTCGGGGCTCCGAAATGCACAGCTCTGACAGCCCCTACCTCAAGGGGAAGGAGAAGTACTTGTTCCCTGACTTGCAGCGGATCTCCTCCCACTGGACACGCAGCAGTAATGCAGAGTCCTCAAACTCGTCCACGATGTCCTGTAAAAGAGACGCACAGGTCAGTACTTAGAGGGTGGATCTGCCAGAGGACGGCGTCAGCAGCTCCCTCTCTGAAACAAGTCAGAGACAAGGCCGTTTAAGGCTGGAAGGCTCCGACTTCCCTCTGGAGGGTGGTTTAACTGATGGTCCCCCCACAAGCTTATCTTCTTTCAACCCAATGAAGTTTGTCTTGCTCAGTGAAGAGCATTTCCCACTCTTTGCCCTCAGAAGGGAGATGTGGCTGGACACCAGCTCTGCTCTTCCCCTGCTCTCCACACTGTGTGGGGACACACCTGGAGCTCCTGCATACACGGCCCTTCCAGCTTGCCAGACAGGTCCCCGACGCACCAGGCCAAGCTGATATGGAACGATGGGTCCTGAAGACAAAACAGGGGTCACATCGTGAGGACTGAAGGCGGCTTTGCTCAACGCACGGAGCTGCGGCAGGAGATCTGGGGTCATGGTGCCCTGCCTGGGATCACAGAGGTTGGAGGACCCCAAAGATGGGAGCCCCCTCTGCCAGTTGAGCAGTTGCAGAGCTAATGCAGAGAGTGCTGGAGGCAACAGGAGTCCTGGGCTCCCCACCCCAGCCTTTTTGGGCACCAGTGGGCAAGGCTGCCTGGTTCCCATCCTCTCTGTGCTCAACTCTGCAGAAGCTTTTCCAGCTGCACAGAGAATCTCTCACAGACATTCCTGGAGCAGGGAGATGGGTTACTTCTGTATAACCCACAAAAGCCCCCTTCTCAGCTCTAGAGACAGAGAAATCAGGATTTGGACTTTCAAAAGCCAAAATCTGTCTCCAGAGCTAATAGCAAGCAAAGAGGCTGGACCTCAGGAAACTGCCCAAGGAAAAGGCACAAGCATCACCCTCAGTCCCACAGTGCTCACCCTAAGCCCATTCTATCCTAGCACAACCCTGCTTCCATGCACAGCAGGGCAGTGACCATGATATATGCTCTGCCCATTCGCCCCACAAACCTGATTCTCAAGAGGCCACCAGACAGTTAACAACCTTACTCTCTCTCCTGCACAGGACACGACACAGAAGTCACAGACTTCCACTAGTCCCATTCTCTGCAAGATTGTGTTCAGGGTGCTCCGTATGAACATCACCAACCACCTCAGAGGAGACAATTCCAAAGACTAACCTCTCTGCTCCTGTTAATTTGAGGTTTCAAGGAATGTTTCAAGGACCTCTTGCAGGGAACCAGCTGGCACATTTGGACTGGCAGGGAAGTAAGTGGAAGACCCTCACCTTGTAGAATGTGGGAAGGTCAAATTCCTCCAGAACTCTGTCCACCTCAGAGACCAGCTCCAGCAGCTGGAAATGGCCAGCAGAGACCTCCAAGCCAATAAAGGTCCTAAAGAAAGACGAGACAGCTATTACCCTTTCATGCTGCATTCCTACCGGGCAAATGCCCTACCCCCTAATAGATAATTTGAGGAATGCCAGGTTTAAGCATTCAAGAAGGTTGACTATAAGTTGAAAGAAAAAAAAACAAAACAAAACAAAACAAAACCAGAAGCAAAGACGTGGTAGCAGGGAGCAGGACTGGATGATGTACCACATAGATTTACTAGATAACGTTGGCTCCTTTGGGGACAGGAAACCTCATTTTCCAGGCACAGGATTTGTCATGTGGGAGCTGGCTCAGAAAGCAGAACTTGCCAGAGGGGATTTTAAAGCAGGAGAGGAAGTGGAAGCAGAAGTACCACGATGGAGAAACAAGACAAAGAGAAGCCCCCTCAAGCACTTCGGGGGGGGGGGGGAAAAGGGAAGACTACGTCTCACCCAGGATCCACTTCATCCATGCCTGTCATAGGCTGCTGTTCCCACTACATTCAGCAGCTTTTCACAATGTTAATCACATTTGCTTTGAGATTTAAACTCCTTAATTGTGTTCAGTTGGCTGAAGCAGGCTTCTCCTCCTGACACTGAGAAGAATTAGCACTCTCTGAACCATTTCTCTCCAGCTCCTGTAGGACCTGCGCTGCAATTTCATGACCAGCGCTGCTGCCAGAAGAGGTGCCCCCCAGCTCAGCTTGCCCCAGGCTGCTCATGGTGGCCATGGGAGTCTGTGAAACCACAGAACAAACCAGATGGGAGGTGGCAGCAAAGGCAGCCAACTCCTTTAGCTGCTGTGGAACCACAGCAGGAATCTAACCCTAGAAGAAAGGCTGACTTCAGGTCACATGGTGAACAGACCTCCTTGCTTCAGAGGACTGAAAACCTGTAGCCTGAAGTTTGGCTACTCCTAATAAGGCCAACAGCTTTCAGAGAATCAGAGCCGAAGTTAAATGTTTGTGCAAGTGGCTGGGGAAAAGCGTGAAACCTCTAGAGACAAGGCGATTGTCTTGGCTGTTGTGGTCCAGGCAGGGTGACACCTCCCACCCACCCAGCACCTTGCCCGAGCCTTCTCCCCAGGCAAGCAGACGGCCTCGCTGCTCACTCACCTGGTTTTGTTTTCATTGGTGTAAACCTTCACTTGGTCAGCCACGCAGAAGAACCTGCAACAAGAAAGATCCTATTTCAGCTGGTGGGTTAAAAATAAGAAAAGGAAAAAGCAGAAGATGGGGAGGGGGGCAGGATTTCTACCGAGCTGTGCAAAGATAAAGGCAAATGTACTCTGCAATTGGACCGTATCAGTGCAACCAGAACCTTCCTGGGCTCAAATTAATCCTTTCCCCTCCAGTTTCCAGCCCTCTGAAGCCTGGATGGCAACAGAAGCCCTGAAGCAGCTGACGCTCAGTGAGTGCCTGAGCCAGATCTAAACAACGAAAACATCCACGGTTTACTGCAAGGGTTCTCAACCTCTCCTTCGCCACAGATCCTCTTAAACACCTTTTGTGGCTGTGGACCACCAAGACTTCATTCAAGATTTAAAGACTGCATCATATATTTATCTTAATTTTCTCATTAAAGTTCTACAAATTTGGAAAGAGAGGAAACTACTGTTTCAGAGCACCACCTGTAGATATTTCTATGAGCTTGTCTTTCTCTGCAAGGCCAACCAAATATTTCCAGGCTGGACATTCCCCACCCCTACTTTAAGCCTTCACAGAGACCCTGTGATGACATTGTGGCCTCCCAGGCATCTGTGGGCCACAGGTTGAGAACCACAAACTCAGAGGATGGCACAGCTCTGGCCTTGTCCTTGAAGGCTTAGACCTGAGTTGTGTGGTGCCGGATCCTGAGGCAGAGAGGGAAACTCCACAGGGTGCAGCACCAGCTCCCAAGATGACTTGGGGTGCAGATGCTGGTGAAACACTCCCAGAGGGCGAGAGACAGGTATGAAGAGTGCTCTGTGGAGCTCCCTACCTGTGAAAGGTGGCCAGGCGCTCCCTGAGGCAGCGGACGAAGGGCTCTATCCAGTGGTAGCGCAGCACCACACACTGCGAGAGGCTGAGGTGGAACTCCTCTAGGGCAGCCAGCGAGGAGACGTAGGTGCGAGCACGGGTCACCAGGAGCTCCAGGAGCTCCAGGAACTCCTCCTGGGCCCTGTCTGCAGGGCACGGCCGTCAGA